CTCATTCTTTTTTGAGACTGGAAAAGAAAATATTGCTGAAACAGTCTAGTTGCTAGCTAACTTCTTTCACATTCTTCACATAGAATGTCCTCATTTAGGGCCTTCCTTAGGACCTGCTTCAGGTCTGAGGAGCTTCTTCCTGATCAGGAAGCTGAGGTTAGCCGAGTCATACGACTAGTGATCTGCTTTGTGGCAGGTCTACCTTTTAAGGAGTTCAGTTTATTAATCTAGCTTCGGCTGAACCAGGGGGACTGAGACCACAGAGCAAAGAGATTCCATTGATGCGAATGAAGTTAGTCCTGTTGCTACTGTCTACCGTGCATCTCTCCATCTTTGTGGTACTGTAGTGAAGTGTGTTACTGGGATGCTGGAAGCTATGCCACCAGTATTTCAAACACCAGCAGGGTCACCTGTGGTGGACGGGTTTCATTAATATCACACGCAAGTTAAGTTTTGCTGAAGATAATTCAAAAACTGTTCCAGCCGCACATCTACAGGAAATTGTCGGAAGTTCAGGCGGGATTCAGAAGAGGACGTGGGACCAGGAATATCATTGCTGATGTCAAATGGATCTTGGCTGAAAGCAGAGAATACCAGAAAGATGTTTACCTGTGTTTTACTGACTATTCAAAGGCATTCAACTCTATGGATCATAACAAATTATGGATAACATTGCAAAAAATGGGAATTCCAGAACACTTAATTGTGCTATGTGGAACCTGTACATAGACCAAGTGGCAGTCATTTGAACAGAACAAGAGGAGACTATGTAGTTTAAAATCAGGAAATGTATGCATCAGGGTTGTGTCCTTTCACCATACTTATTCAATCTGTATGCTGAGCATGTAATCCGAGAAACTGGCTATACGAAGTAGAACGTGGCATCAGCATTGGTGGAAGACTCATTAACAACCTACAGTATGCAGATGACACAACCTTGACTTGCTGAAAGTGAAGAGGACTTGAAGCACTTACTGATGAAGACCAAAGACTACAGCCTTCGGTATGGATTACACCTCAACATAAAGAAAACAGAAATCCTCACAACTGGACCAATAAGCCACATCGTGATAAACAGAGGAAGGATTGAAGTTGTCAAGGATTTCATTTTACTTGGATCCACAATCAACACTCATGGAAGCAGCAGTCAAGAAATCAAACGATGTGTATTGCATTGGACGAATCTGCTGCAAAAGACCTCTTTAAAGTGTTGAAAAGCAAAAATGTCACTTTGAGGACTAAGGTGCGCCTGATCCATGCCATGATATTTTCAGTCACCTGATATGCATGTGAAAGCTGGACAGTGAATAAGGAAGACCAAAGAAGAATTAATGCCTTTGAATTAAGGTGTTGGCAAAGAATATTGAATATGCCATGGACTGCCAGAGGAATGAACAAATCTGTCTAGGAAGAAGTACAGCCAGAATGCTGCTTAGAAGCGAGGATGGCTAGATTTCATCCACATACTTTGGGCATATTATCAGGAGGGACCAGTCCCTGGAGAAGGACATCACCTTGGTGAAGTAGAGGGTCAGCGAAAAAGAGGAAGACCCTCCGTGAAGCGGATCGCAACATGGCTCAAGCATAACAATGCCGTAGGACTGGACAGTGTTTTGTTCTGTTGTGCATGGGGTCATTAGGAGTCAGAGCTGACTCTGCGGCGCCGAAGAACAACAAAATTGCTACCCTGCTAGGACGATGGGCCACCCTTGGCTCTTCTCTTCTTTCTCTCCTGTTGGTACCTCCCAGCATGTCTAGACAACTTGACTAGCACATTACGGGGCAGGTGATGTTGGCCTGCCTCACGCAAATAGGGTCAGATCCTCCCTCCCCTCTGATGTCTCTGAGGAGAAGAGGTACCTAGATAAAACGTGATAGAAAAGTCTTTGTACTTCTAGCCGAGTAGTCCTGCTTTTATTTCCCCGGCTCCTAATTCTTTTGTGAGGCTGCATGCATCTTTGAGTTACGGAATGGGGGCCTAAGAGGGTTTGTTGTAGTAGATGATGCTAATACGTATGTTCTTTGGACACTTTTAAAAGGTGAAATGAAATTTGACATGATCAAGGTGAAGGGTATAAGTTACAAAGGAAAAAAATTAACTGGGTTTCAGAGGTTCAGTCACTCTGAGAACTAATTCACTGCATGATCCTGTCCATATGGCATTCATTATTTTACAAACTTCCTCTCTTTGTCTCTCCTTTAGTTTACTAGTTCTTTCTCCCAACCTTTCTGTTTTAAAAAATTTGCTTGTAATAGTTTTATAAATATTAATTTCAGACATTTTTACTCTGTACATGAAACTTTTCTCAAAAAAAATAAGATAAATGCTTAGTCAGCTTACTGCAATGTATATTTATATGCAAAATCTGTAAGGTTGGTTGGGCAAGTCTTGCTCCAGTAGTGAAGCATGAAGTTGAACCCTGAACCAGTAATTATGTGTATCTTAAAAAGACAAACATGGAATCGCACTGAGTCAAGGCTCAAGTCAACCTGGAGCACCTGGCTTCTTTCAGAGTAATTATTTTGAGATTCATCCTTCTTGATGTGTATGTTAATTGTTGGTTCTTTTTATTGCTACATAGTATTTCATTGTATGACTATACCACCGTTTGTTTACCCATTACCTGTCTATGGATGTTTGCGATGCTTTCAGTTTTTACCTGTTACAAATAAAGCTGCTGTGTACAGTTGTATATGAGTCTTCTTATGGGCATGTTCTTTCATTTCTCTTGGGTAGATACTTAGAAGTGGAATGGTTTGGTCACATAGTAGGTATATATTTAACTTTTTAAGAAACTACCAACTGTTCTTCGAAGTGGTTCTACCATTTTACATTCCCATCGGCAGTGTATGAGAGTTCCAGTTGCTCTGCATCTTTGCCAGCACTTAATATGGTCAGTCTTTTTATTTCAGACATTTAAATGTATGTATAGTTGTATCTCATTGTGGTTTTATTGTACGTTTCTCCATTGACTGATGATAAAACCAACGTCAAACCCATTGCTGTTGAGTTGATTCCGATTCATAGCGACCCGGTACGTCAGAGTAGAACTGCCCTATGGGGTTTCCAGGGAGCAGCTAATGGATTCAAACTGCAGACCTTTTGGTTAGCAGCCGTAGCTCACAGTAGGTCTTAACCACTGTGCCAGATACTGAGCATCTTTTCATGTGTTTAGTGGCATGTGAGCCTTGATGAAACATCTGTTCAAATCTTTTGCCCCATTTTTAGAAGGTGGGTTGCCTATTTTAAGTAATAATAAATTTATTATTGAATTTTGAGAGGTCTTTATATATTCTGGATGCAAATTGTTATCAGATATGTGGTTTGAAAGTATTTTCTACAATTCTGGGACTTGTCTTTTTTGAAGAGAAATTACTGATTTTTGTAGAAGTCCAGTTTATTAATTTTTTTTCTTTTATGGAATGTGATTTTGGAGTTGTATCTAAGAAATTGTTACCGAACCAAGTCAAAAAATTTTCTCCTGGAAGTTTTATAGTTTTCAGGTATTACATTTAGGTCTATGAGCCATTTTTAGTTAATTTTTATAAATGATACAATGTATAGATTGAAGTTTTATTTGTATGTGAATATCCAGTTGTTGCAGCACCATTGGTTGAAAAGACAGCCCTTTCTCCACTAAATTATCTTTGCACTTTTGTCGAAAATGAGTGGACTATATATGTGTGCATCTATTTCTGGACAGTATTTTGTTTCGTTGATCCATTTGTCTATTTTTATTCTAATACTGCACACACCGTCTTGGTTGCTATAGCTCCATAATAAATCTTGAAATCAGGTAATGTGACTCCTCCGATTTTTTTTTTCTAAGTTGTTTTGAGTATTTGTCCTTTGCAATTCCATATGAATTTAGCATCAGTGTGTCAACTTCTACAAAAAAACTTGCTGGGATTTTGATTGGAATTACAGTGAATTAATATTGACATCTTAACAGTGTTGATCTATGAACACAGTATGTCTCTGCATTTATTAGATCTTGTTTAGTTTCTCTCAGTAATGTTTTGTAGTTTTAGTGAGCTTTACATAAACTATATTGCAGGTATTCTTCTGTGCTTTCTTTTTCACTTAACATGTATTTCATCTGGATGTATATATCAATAGTTAATTCACTGCTCAAATGAATTAATTTATTTTTTTGCTCTATACCATTCCATTGTATGAAGATGCTATAATTTATCCATTCTCTTATTGATGAATATTTAAGTTGTTTGAGTTTTTTTGCTATTTCAAATAATGTAGTTATGGATATCCCTGTACATATAAGCTGGCACACACGGGTAGCAGTTTTCTAAGATACATACAAGCCGAGGAATAGACTTAGGGGATAGGATGTACTAGACTTTGCCAGATTGCTTCCAGTTTATGCTCCCATCAGTGCTGTATCAGAGTTGCTGTTACCAGTTAGATCTGTCAGACTTCTTAATTTTTGCCAATCGAAGTGTGTGAAATTGTATCTCATTGTAGTTTTAATATGTATTTTCTGAGTCCTAATGAGATTGATAATCTTCTCATATGTTTATTTTTCTGTTAAAATCTGTCCATCTTTTTTGCCCATTTTTCATTTAGATTGTCTTTTTCCTAATAAATTTTAGAATTTCTTAAAAACGTATTTTGGATACTTTTTTTTAGTTGTATGTATTGCAAATATCTCCTTCCATTTTGTGGCTTGTTTCCTCATATTTTTGGTATTTTTTGATGAATAGAAGTTGTGAAGCCAACTCTGCTGTACTGAGGAGTTCATTCAATTTTAAAACAATAATTGACTCTACTTATCAATTATATCTCTGAGACCCAAATCCTATAGAAGCCTAGTTTCAGATCCATTATTTTATTTTTCTTTATAAATCTTTCTGAAGGATTCATTTATCTTCTCCAGTTACAGTTTGGAGGCATGGGAGTGAGGGTGAGGGAGAACCACTGTTTCTTTAAGGATGCATTAACAATTTTACAAGCATATTTTGAACCTCTTCTTATTTTTCAGGCCGGACCAGAATATGGTCAAGGAATGAACCCCATTAGCCGCCTGGCTCAAATTCAACAGGCCAAAAAGGAAAAGGAACCAGATTATGTTTTGCTTTCAGAAAGAGGAATGCCCCGACGTCGAGAATTTGTGATGCAGGTATTTCTGTATTTTATATTAAAATAATGTTTTCTAACTACTGAAAAATTTAGAAATCTTCAGCTTGGCATAGAGATAATGGGGAAAGGCAAATAAGAGTTAAGAGCAGAAAGTTAAGCTGTGTTTACGCTTAAAGCGTTCGTTCACCCCATGCCCAGCCACCAGCTTGGTGGGAACACTCAAGTGTCAAGGACATGTTAAGATAGACAACATGAGCTTTTGAAGGAACTGTGAGTTCATGCAGGTTATTTACCACAGAGTTTATCACTTAGATTTAGAATACCTATCTCTAGCTTTTTTGTGTTACAATTTGCAGCTGGAGCTTATTAACTACTGGGAATTGAAAACAAATGAAATTAGAAATAAAATCCAGAAGGATGGACATAGTGGATGGAACAGGGCCAAGAGTATGAGCTTGTGGCTATAAGGGAAATGAGGAAGAGAAAGCTAGCTGAGTAGCTCACCACGGTGGGGGCGGAGGACGCAGAATTGATGAGATCTCACTGCTGTGTTGTGCAGTCCAGAAAACTGAATGGTGACTAGTTGTTGGCAGATGGTTGGGGACCAGAAATGAGATACAGTGCCTGAAATGCCCTCCCCCTTTTCAAATCCTGTTCCTTCGTTCGCCAGCTCAAGCCCTAGTTTTGAAGAAACCTTTGTTTTAATTTTCTATTGTGAAAATTTGGAACATATCTAAAGGTAGAGAAACTGGAATAATGGATCCTCAATCTACTCATCAACCAAATGCAACAGTTATTCAGATTTTTGCCACACTTGTTTCAGCTGTCGATGTTCCCTTTTCCTTCCCTCCCCTTCTCTCTCTTCTTTTCCTGAAGTACTTTAAAGCTAATTTCAAATCTCATGTTACTTAAGCCTTATGTGCTCTGTGTGTATCTCTTAAAAAACATGGACTCTTTCTTACGTGAGACCTAATCCCTAATTCATTGGAATCATTTCATACCCAGTCTGTATTTGTATTCTTCTTATTGTCCCCAAACTGTTACAATTGGCTTATTGAAGAACCTTTTTCAATCATGCAAACTCGTAGATTTCTCTTTTAATACAATCCAGTTAAAAATCAATGGACATTTGTTAAGTGCTGATCATTTGCCAGGCATTTTTTGATTAACTTTTCGTGCATATCTAAGTCTTGTCTTCCCACCAAATTTATAATCTCCGTTCCTCTTTGTCACAGAATCCAATACAGTGGTTTGTATATAAAAACCCAAACATATTGCAGTCAAGTCAGTTTTGACCCATAGCGACCCTATAGGACAGGGTAGAACTGCCCCATAGGGTTTCCAAGGTGCGGCTGGTGGATTCGAACTGCCAACCTTGTGGTTAGCAGCCGTATCACTTAGCTACTGTGCCACCAGGGCTCCCATTTGAATACAGTAGGACCTTAATAAATGTTGGGTATATATTTACTGCCTGCCTGTCTACCCGACTTACTGAGAGCTAGTATGTTTGGCCTTTTTTGAACATGTAGACTTCTGATAAACTACTGTTGGGAGCCCAGATATCCAAAGATGGGGAGTCCTGTGGTTAGTAAATACATCATTATATAGATGTGGGACCCATAATGGTATTGTTATAGTATTTTCACTTGGTAAAATATATTCACCATTTTTCCTCTGACATTCTTAGCTTTAAAGAATACTACAAAGTATTCTGTGGACTCCGAAGCTTGAAGAAAAAAATCAGCTAAATGCTAGGCATGAAATAAGAATATAAACTGACTTTGGTTTTATTAAAGAAGTCACTTTCTATGGAGTATGTTGAGTACCCCTTTTGAAAAAAAGAATTTAGAGTATCTTAGGCCAGCTTCCATTTTATGGGTATTCGTAAACATTCTAGTCAAACGGGGACGTTTGGCTGTGCTTTTAAATGTTTTCACACTGAATTCATATTATTTTTCCCCCGTCTGGAAGCCCCAGTGGATTCATTACAGTATGCAGCAAATTTATCAAAGTAAAAGACTTTTTTATAAACTACTTAAGCAGTGTTATCATTTGTTTTAATTGAATGTGGAAGTAAAATATCTGGAGATAATATGCTCATTTTTATCTGTCACCCACCAAAAAAGTAAGTTTGTATGTTTTAAAATGGGTGCAGTTACTTGTGTTAATTATCAGATAAACAGAAGAAAATCTCTGATGACATTATTTGGATATTGAATTCCAAAGCAGATTTCTTAAAGCTTTTTTTTTTCTGGAGAGGGATATTTTAATTTTTCAAAGAGAAAATGATAGCTAAAGTAAATTGCATATTAGTACTTCGCACTGCTATATATCATATATTAATTTTTCTACCTATGATTAACACCTCTAGGTTGTTTAAAAATATATGTAAGGCAAATTTCATCCATTTCATTTATGTCTCAGTGCAAGATAATGGATTAACTTTCTGGTAATTGCTATTTCTGTTTCTTAGTTGTTTTTTTTTTTAGGACATGAGTCATTTGAATGGTTTGTTTCATTTAAAGACAAAAACGTGGCAGTCTTAACTTTACTGCATAGCAAAGTAATCGAGTTTCTTTGCAGATAAAAATTAACATTTTAATGAAAAAATCTTATCGATAATAGTTACAAAATCTGCGAGCTTTCTAGGAAGAGGGTTTTATGAAGCTGACTTGCATACTTACTTAATTTTCATAATGAAGTGATTTTATTTTTAATGAGGTAATTTTTTGAGTGACTACTGTGTTTGTTAGCAAGAAATGGAAGTCCTTCAGCAAGATAGTCCTTCCAGTACTAACAAATCATTCTGGGAAAGTCACTCACAAACTATTGAGCCATATACTGCACAAACTTGTTTGGTGCAGGAGGTGGGTGAATGGGAAAAATGAGTCTGTGAAGCACCTGTCTTGAAGGACTCGGGAACAGAAGTCAGAATAGGTCAGATGATATAGATACAAGGTAAATGCAGAGATGGGAACAGTATTGGAAGTGTCAAGTCCAAGAACAAGGGCCTAAAGCTAAAAGACATCAGGCTTGGGTAGGTAAATCAGATGTAGGAATGAAGCAGCAGAAGAATTGAATGTGTGTAAGGTGTATACAGCATGTAAAAGCAGGTGAAAAAAATTCTGCAGTTATTTGCTGTTCATTGAGTTTTCACTTCCATTAACTTTAGCAAGTGTTTTGACCATCAGAGCAGTAGAGGAAGCTGCAGACATAACTGACCTAATCTTTTAACTAGCAAGTACTCCAGCACCAGCATAGGGGCTGTGGGGCAGGGAACAAACCAAACACTGGAAAAAACACCACGTAATTTGCCGTGAATTTTTATTATGAATGGGTATTGAATTTTATCAAAGGCTTTTGCTCCGTTTACTGGATGTGCATATTGGTTTGTCCTCCTCAATCTGTTAATATAGCAGATTCCACTGAATGATTTTGCTTGAGTTTCAAGTGTTAAAGTGACCCTGCATTCTTGGAATAAAGCCAGCTTGGTTGCGACTCTTCTTATATAGTGCTTGATTCCATTTACCATTGGATGGTTTAAAATCTGCACATCTATGTTCGTTGGTGAAACTGTAAATTTCCTTTCTTATACTATGTTTGTTGGTTTTGGAATCATGGTGATGCCTCATAAAACAAATTGAGGACTGATTCCTCTCTTTCTATTCTTGAATGAATTTGTCTAAGATTGACATTATTCTTCCTTAAATACTGGGTCGAATTTGCTGGAGAAGTTATATGGAGTTTTCTTTGTGGAAAGGTTTTTGGTTATGGATTAATTTCTTTAGTAATTATAGGCTTGCTCAGCTGTAGGTTTATTCTGTGTTTCTTTTGGTAATTGTATTATTTAGGAATTTTTCCATTTCATCTAAATATTCAAAAAATTTTAGCATAAAATTGTTGTCAGTATTCCTTTATTATTTTGTAATGCTACAGGAGCTGTGGTAACCTCTCATTTTCATTCTTTCTTGTGCCTTTTCTACTTTTTCTTGATTGGTCTTACCTTCCATTTATCATTTTATTAGTCTTCAGAGAACCAGTTTTTGGCTTGTCTATTACACTTTCTTTTCTATTTCATTAATTTCTGCACCTGTCTCTATTCTTTCCTTCTATTTTCTTTGGATTTATTTCTCTGTTACAATTGTAACTTCTTGAGATGGATGTTTAGCTCATTAATTTTTTACCTTTCTATAAGCTTTTATAGCTATGTATTTTCTTCTGGACACACCTTTAGCTACATCTGTCAAGTTTTAATATATTGTATTTCCATTAATATTTATTCAAAATGTTTTCTAATTTCCATTGGGACTTATTCTTTTTGCCCATGGGTTATTTAGAATTATATTACTTAATTTCCAAAGTAGTGCTTATTTTTAACTTTTTTGTCTGCTTCTTCTGTCACTTATTGAGACAGATGTGGAAAAATAAATCCTAGTACAGTTGCGTATTTTGTATTTCTCCTTATAAGCCTCTCACGGTTTTGCTCTCTAATTTGCTTTTAATATCTGCATTATCTCTTGGCACATGCATCTCTGAAAGAGCATTGCCCTAACTTTACATGTAGGGATAAGATGGTTCATATGTATTTAAACACACACATGAATGCATGTGTACATAAATTGCCCACAAAAGATACCTATGGAATAGTTCTAATAAGCCACTATGGAGCAATTACAGTTCATTAAATACTGTGGTATACGTACATTATCTTGTTTAATTTTCAAAACAACACTATGAGGTGGATGATATTACCCTGACTTTACTGCTGAGCAGACAGAGGCTCACAGAGATACAGTAATTTGTACCAGTTCGTACAGGAAGGAGGTGGTAGAGTTGGAGTCCATACCTGAATCTAACTCGGAAGCCTTTGTTCCCAACCACAATATCATAGTGCCCCTTGTATGTTAATTCTCTTCCGGTACTATTTAATATAAACCATTGTAAACTTAGAATGCAACACGAACATTATTTTAAATGGCACCAATATGAATTTATCCTTTTCAGTTTATTTTAAATAAAAAATACTGAAAATAACCAACATGAACTCTATTAAAATGTCAACCTTATTTTTCTGATTATATAAATAATACAAGTTTTTTTATTTAGAAAAATGAAATACAGAAATTTATAAGTAAATAAAAATCACCTGAAATTTTACTATCCTGAAATAAACAGCCATTGACATTTTGAGGACTTTCTTTTATATTTTCCTCATGTATATTTTATGTGTATATATACCATTACATAAATGGTGTCTTACTTGCTGTTTTTATCATGGAGTGAACTTTGTATTTTTTGGATGCTAGACAGTAGAATACTTTGCTTTAGGATGTGAAGGAGTTCCTGTTTACCAAAATAACTATTGATTTTTTTCTTTACTCTTATCAGGTCAAGGTAGGCAATGAAGTTGCTACTGGAACAGGACCTAATAAAAAGATAGCCAAAAAAAATGCAGCGGAAGCAATGCTGTTACAACTTGGTTATAAAGCATCAACTAGTCTTCAGGATCAACTTGACAAGGTGAGAGTTTAGCTTGCATGTATGCCCAATTCTATCAGAATATCAAATTGATTAACAAATTCTAGCCCCCTGTTCCTTGACTTTAAGTAATGTCTTAACTGCTATTAAAGTAACCGTCTTAAGTTTTCTGAGGCAGTGCCCTATTTTTATATCGTTAAAAATAGGTGTTCCAGGTACAAAGCAGCATCTATTATGGTGCCATGATGACATATTAATGAATAATTGTAATCTTATGATTACCAAGTACTAAAAGTTGTTTTATGGTTGTGCATATTTTGTATAATACCGATTTAATATGTTTCAGCTTATTGATAGGTTGTTTAAGCAGTCTTAATTTGTGCCTTTTAAGAACAGAGGTTGTTAACCTATGTTTCTGGACTACAGCTGAAAACACTGAAAATAAAGATCCTTTAGGGCAGGAACTATATTGGACAGACACTCTATAAAGTAATTTTTCTATTTACTTTAGATTTAAGGGTAAACTCAGAGAGTGTTTATTTTCTGCCGAGATCTGTGTTCATGGTCCCCTATTTCTTCTGCAGCAGTTAATGACGTCACTGACACCTGCCTCTGTTGCAAGGGAATCAGAGAACTCTGACTTCAGGACTTCACATATAGCTTGGTGCAGGGACTGGCTTGATTTCAGTTTTGTTATCGTTTTGTTATCTGTGCATATGTATAAATGATTTTTATTTAACATTTTATTTCCATGAGAATTCATAAAACAGGCTAATAATTGTTTCTATCAAAAGTAATATGTTTGCATCCAGGCCATTTTTTCACATACGGATCCTGTTTAAGAGATGATTTGTAGTTTCTACAGAACACATTTCTGAAGTTTAGAATAAGAAACAGAATTGTCTGTTACAAAACATCTTGGCATGCTTTTCTTTTTAAGGCAACTGTGAATATCTAGGTAATTCTTATGAGTGACTAAAAAATCATTTGTGTGGTATTGCTAGCAATTTCAATTCTGTTTTTATAACCTGGCTAGTCAGTGCTTTTTCTTTTAAAAGTATTTGTAACATGAAACTTAACATGTGTTCAAGTTTCTGTAGTTCTTATATTGTGTATATGTTGTTTTAACTTAAGTCATTTATACTGACTTAAAACTGGGGAGTGATTTATAAAAATATATGTCAAAATAAATCTCCTCATGGACATTTATTTGTAAATTAAGTGAAAACAAAACAATAAAAAGCCAGCATTACTTTCATTGATTAATTTTATTAATTTGAAAACATTTCTTGCATACCCACAAATGCAAATGATTACTAATGACAAGATGACTGAAACTTGGTCCCTGCATTTAAGGAACTGACCATTGAGTGGGGTGGGTGAGGGGCTATAGTCATACAGCATAAATTGTAGTATCCTGGAGCCTAGAGAACATGAGGATGAGTCTGGGAAGTCAGGAGGAACTGAGATCACTGTTTTTATGCCAACTCTTTATGGACCACAAAGGTCCAATCCCATTGTGTATGGGGTTGCCATGAGTCGGGGGTCGATTCAACAGCAACTAACAGCAACAACAAGGAATTTGAGGAGTCATTAATTGAAGACTTGAGCATGAAAGTGGCCTGATGTGGTTTCCATTTTTAAAAAGACAATTCTGTACCTAATGTGGTGAGTGGATTTGAGCAGGGTGAGACTGAAGGCAGGGAGGCCAGTCAGGAGGCTTCGCAGAGGTGTTCAACTGAAAGATACTGAAGGTCTGAACTAAGCAGTGGTGGTAGAGAGGAGGAGGGGGAAATGCCAGAGATATTTCTGAAGTGTAACTGATGAGGTTTGAGTAGGAGATAATATGCATGAGGGTACAGGAAGAAGGAAGAGGAGAGAATAGCTTTAACGAGGAGGTATAGAAAGTGACCGTAAGAAGCCGTTGGCAGTCATAGGCTGCAGAGAGATCATATAGCAGAAGGACTGAATATTTGGATTTGTTAGTAGCACCCCTCGTGAGTGTGGCAGAAGCAGTTTTTCAAAAGAAACCACAAAAGCAGTTATTATACAGCTATTTTTTAAAAATAGGCAAGATGTATACATTGTTGAAAATATTCAAACAATACAAAAGATGAGTAGTGAAAAAATAGAAGTTTCACTTCACCATGCAACCCTCCGTCTCATGGTCTCTCTTCCAAAGGCATCTCCCACGATGAGTTAATATTTGTAAAGCACTTGGAATAGTGTCTGAAACAGAGTGAATGTTACCTAAGGGTTTGTTAAATAAAAATAAAATTAATGTTCTTACAAAGTATTATGTGCTTATACACTTCTATACTCCCACTTTACAAAGAATTCAGATTCAATAAATTTTGACAACTATACTTCATGTAACCACCTCTACTATGAAGATTTATAACGTTTCTCCACCTGAAAAAGTTCTTTAATACCTCTTTGTAGTCAGTCTCTTCCCCTACCCTCAGCCCTTGGCAAGCATTGATCTGATTTCTGTCCGTATAGTTTTGCCTTTTCCAAAATGTCATATAAATTGAATCATACGTTATGTAGCCTTTTGTGTCTAGCCTCTTATTACTTAACATAATATGCTTTTGCAATTCCTCCAAGTTATTGTGCTTTTTATTAGTTCATGCCTTTTTATTATATGGATACACTAGAATTAGTTTACCCATCATCAGCATTTGAGTTGTTTCCAGTTTGGAGCTGTCAGAAGTAAAGTGATAACAAACATTCATGTATAGGTCTTTGTATGTACATATTCCTGCAGTGTATCCTATATGTACATAATTGTATAGTAAGTGTATGTATAACTTTATACGAAATTGCCAAACTGTTTTCCAGAATGGTGCCATTTTGCAATCTCACCAACAGTGTTTGAGAGTTCCAGTGGCTTCACCTTTTCTCCAGCTCTTGGTATTTTCAGTTTTGATAGCTTTGGTCATACTAGTAGGTGTGTGATCTGTTCCATTGGGCTTTAATTTGCACTTCCCTGGGTGGTGTAGACTCGCTTGGTTGCTAACCAAAAGGAGGTTCGAGTCCATCCAGAGGTGCCTTGAAAGAAAGTCCTGGTGATCTGCTTTTGAAAAACCAGCCATTGAAAACCGTATGGAGCACAGTTCTACTCTGACACGTATGGGGTTGCCATGCATCGGAATCAACTCAACAGCAACTGGTTTTTTAACAACAATGTTGAACATCTTAATGTGTTTATTTGCCATCCTTATTTCTTCCTTGAAGTGTCTGTTCCAAACTTTTGCCTTTTTTTTTTAAATGGATGGTTTGCTTTCTTATTATTGAGTTGTAAGAGTTCTTTATATATTTTAGCTACAGTTATGTTATCAGATATGTACAGATAGTCCCCGACTTACGACGTATTCAAGTTATGACGAACAACATGACTGTCAGTGTATCTGGAGCATTGCCTCTTTCTGGGAGGAAGTTACAGGAAAATGCATGCACGGCATATGAACAAAACTACTGGGTTATGTGAACATGCTCCAAGCATCTGATCAGGATAATATGATGGAAGAGATCAGTGGAAAAATCTTCTATATGGCAAGAACGCTGAATTTAGAACTTGATATTGCCGATATGGAACAGCTCATAGATCACAAAGAAGAGGAAGTGACAGACCAGGACTTAATGGATTGTGAAGAGGAAGGAAATGCTGATGAAAGAAAGAAATAATGAGGAAGAGGAAGGACATAAGTTGTCAAAAAATTTTATAGTGAAAGGATTAGCTGAAGTTTTTTCTCAGCTAAATCAGGGACTTCAGTTGTTTGAAAATGGACCCAAACACTGATTTGTTTTGCTGAAGTCGACAGGCAGATTCTGGAGGCATTGAGATGTTTCCCCGAAATATATGAAGAAAAAAAGAAAAAGACCATACAGACAACTCTCACTAATTTTCTGACTAGAAATGCCATCCTCATTCCCAAGGATAATCCAGATGATCCAGAAGCTTCCACAAGTGGAGTTACTACCACAAATGACAAAATGCCAACATTGTCCAACTCTTCTTCTTCATCATCAGAGTACATACTTATGATTTCTGTATTTTTTTATGAATGTATGTACTAAAACCTCATGTGTTTGTCACTTTGTTGTACTACGTTGGCTTGTGTGTTGCTGCGATACTAAAAGCTATCCCACTGGTATTTCGAATACCAGCAGAATCACCGATAGTGGATAGGTTTCAGCAGAGCTTCCAGACTAAGACAGACTAGGAAGAAGGACCTGGTGGTCTACTTCTGAAAAAATTGACCAGTGAAAACCTTATGAATAGCAACAGAATGTTGTCTGATATCGTGCCAGAAGACAAGCCCTCAGGTTGGAAGGCACTCAAAAATACGACTGGGGAAGATCTGCCTCCTCAAAGCAGAGTTGACCTTAATGATGTGGATGGAGTAAAGCTTTCAGGACCTTCATTTGCTGATGTGGTACAACTCAAAATGAGTGTGTCAACTTGGCTAGGCCATGATTCCCAGGATTGTGTGATTGTCCGCCATTTTGTGGTCTGATGTGATTTTCCTATGTGTTGTAAATCCTACCTTTATGATGTTAATGATTCAGGATTAGAGTCACTTATGTTAATGAAGCATGACTCAATATACAAGATTAGGTTGTGTCTTGAACCAGTCTCTTTTGAGATATAAAAGAGAGAAGCAAGCAGAGAGACGAGGGAACCTCATATCACCAAAAAAGCAGTATCTTAGTCATCTAGTGCTGCTATAACAGAAATACCATAAGTGGATGGCTTTAACAAAGAGAATTTATTCTCTCACAGTCTGGGAGGCTAGAAGTGCAGATTCAGGGTGCTAGCTGTAGGGGAAGGCTTTCTTTCTCTGTGGGTTCTGGGAGAAGGTCCTTGTGATTGATCTTTCCCTGGTCTAGGAGCTTCTGAGCGCAGGAACCTCGGGCCCAAAGGACGCACTCTGCTCCCGGTACTGCTTTCTTCCGATTGAGATATTCCAGCAGACAGATGCAGCACTGGAAGTGCTTACTCATCTATGTCAAGAAATTTGAAAGCTTCCTGGCCAACC